TTTAGGTAGGTCAGTTGATTACTAATCAAAATGAGGATTAGTAAATTACGACTTTTTGTTTGAGAGACAACTATCGAATACTTGGTTTATAATAAGTATATAATGATAAATAAGTAATAAATTTAAAGCTTATACTAATGACAGCAGAGTAATAGGCCATGGGTTATGTGAAAACTCTACAAAAAATACAAGGCAATTCAATTTAAAAGGTCGACTTTAACGTACTAGACATAAAAATCGAAACTGCAATAAAAAGCTTTTTTGAGTAACTATTGAAATAAAACTGGGCTTTTATCCAATCTTATTCCTTTTCTCACAAAATATTACTACCTTTTTGAAAGGTAGGTTTAGGTACCAATAGGAACTTACCCAAAATTCACTTGTAAAATCACACCAGAAACCAGTACTTTATCCGGTTTGCAGTTTTATTAACATTACACGGGCACTTTCCAGGTAAAAGCTTAAAAATATTCACTGTTCATTTAACAAAATCCAAATTATCATCCGTGAAATACAGGTACGAGTACGAAAAGGCGTCGAAGGCGAGGCAAAAGATCGCCGCGAAAGCATACCTTACATGCCATAGATTAAATAACAAAGAGTATAGTAACTACTAACTAGCACAGTAAAAACTACGTTAGTACTCTTATTAGTTTGTGACAGTAACTGTCCAATACAGGAACTAAAATAAACAGAACGAATGACTCTGGCCTAGCATAAATTGTGAACTCAAGATCACTCTCTTTTACCGCGAGCTCAAGACTCAAGTCATGGAACCCATCAAGTGTTGTTCAGACCATTATTCAGACACAAGTACGATTTTTTATGTACAATTTTAATTTAATAATATAATTTGTCCACGGTTGACTACGTAATCGTAATTGTCATTGACACCATTTGTTTGGTCGATAGTTCTTTTTTTTTGTTGCTTTCTATCAATAATAACACTGCAAGCTAATAATTTAAATTTAATTTAAATAAATATGCTAAAAATAATGTAGACATTTGATGACAAGTACGCTTCTTGTACAATTTCTACAGAAAAATGTAATTTTGACGGCATAAAAAGTTTATGATAAGAGTGGTGTCTATTTTAGAATGTAGAACGTCGAAGAAAGGAAGAAATATATACAATTATAATACAAATTTTTATTTCCTAATTCATTCCAATATCACAAACAATTAAAAATCTTAGATATCATACCATATTAAAATTTAATTTTTGTAATAAATTACCGATAGGTACTAAGAATGTTTTAAATTAAAATAAAATATGATAAACTTGAATAAGACACTAAAACTGCTTTCCGTCTTAAGTGATTTTCATATATGATAAAACTATGAAACTATAGTATTTTATGCAATACAGTTCTGTTCTATATCGGTAATCTTTGATAAACATGATGTCATTCGTCGGCTTAAGTTTTTTTTTACAATAGACTCGTAGGGTGAGGACTTTTGCCATTAGCAACTACTTGAATAATATAATAACTTTTCTCCGGCGTCAGACGCGTGATAATAATAAAATTACCGAACGAATTAAAAACCGAGCGGATTCTGTTTCTGCACTAATTTTATTTATTATTATCATTATTTTAAATTAAAAATACATTTTCAAGCATACAAATTATCAAATAAGAACATTGTAAACTAGCATACGAATTTAATGTAAAGGCTACAGTATTAATATTAGTAAAAAATTTAAAAGTTAATATTTTGTTTTGAAGTCATCATCATCACAAACTAATAAGGAGTGCTCGCGTTAAGTCATAGCATAGCATAGTAAAAATAGAGTAGTAGGATAACTCCCACGCTGTGCGAGACTTAAGAGCGAAGTCGGTCTGCGCGGGAATTGCGAAATAGGTTTTTGAAGAAAATATTGCCGGTGGGCAATATGTTTTGTTTTTTTATTTTACAACACAACAGATTACATCATGATTCATGACTTAAAGCTATAACTTATATTAATAATAGTGTGTTACAATACATAATCCATATACGTGTTATCACGGCATGCCAATATTGAAAAAACATTTTAAATAAAATTGCTTAAACTAACAGGCTCATAAATCCGACAAATCACACAACAGATTACATCATGATTCATGACTTAAAGCTATAACTTATATTAATAATAGTGTGTTACAATACATAATCCATATACGTGTTATCACGGCATGCCAATATTGAAAAAACATTTTGAATAAAATTGCTTAAACTAACAGGCTCATAAATCCGACAAATCAAGAACTAAAACTATAATAAATATTAATCAAAGAAAGAATATCTTTCAAAACATTTCTCAAGCGAAAAAGGCTAGAGTTGAAGATGTCAAGGTTGGTAAAGCGAAGGCTATAATCCTCATAGAGTCGACATGACCTTGATAGGGGTTGATTCCGGGAGATATTATTACGCGATAGGGATATGTCAAATATTTTTTTCATAGGTCGCGTTTTATGTTAAAATTTAACAGTTCCAAGACCTCGGGACTGTCTAGTTCAGAGTGTACCATTTTGTGTAGATTAAGTAGGTCCAATTCGTCGCGACGGAGGTGAAGTAGTGTCATGCCAAACTCTTTAATCCTCTCAGCATATGACCGGAGTCTTCTATTGTTGCCGCTACGTAAGCTCAATAAACGCAAAAACTTGGATTCCATATTATTCAACTATATTCTAAATTACTTCGAACCGGACTGTTATACAACAAAATTAAACTGAGGGTTCCTGAAGTGCCTGCTCTGTCTAGTAACAAAACGTAGTATCTGGTAAAATTTTTTGGCTATGAGATCGTAATGTTGGCGGAAAATAAGTGGTTCGTCAAACAAGTCCCCGAGATCCCTGATGATGACACGAGACAGAGTTTGTTGTTCTAAGATATAATTGTTTGATACCTTGTTTTTTTTTAAGTGTGTCGGTGATGACAAATCATTTTTTTGACATTAAGTAACATATTATTTTCATTGTACCAATTAGACAGGCTCTTTAAATCTTCCTGTATGATGCGAGTATCGTCAGCTTCACCAATTCCATTGAAGATTTTTAAGTCATCAGCATATAACAGGCAAGGGGACTGAATTTTCTCAATGAGGCCATTAATAAAGGTCACAAAAAGTAACGGGCCCAAATGGGATCTTTGGGGAACACCAGACTTAATGAGGATCTCTTCTGATGTATACCCCTTGACGGTCACGAGCCGATTCCTGTTTTTCAAGAAGGACTCGAGCCAACGCAACAGATTGCCGCGTATATCATGTCACTTGAGTTTCTTATATAAAATTGTGTGATCCGCTATATCGAACGCTTTTTTAAAGTCGGTATATATAGCATCTACCTGTCCACGGTTGTTAAAAGCATCGCATATGTAAGTTTTGAAGTTAAAAAGGTTACCGACTGTCGATCTCTTTTTGATGAATCCGTGCTACTTATTTGATATAAGAGGTTTTAAATGAAAATAGAGATGATAAAAATCTCAAAATAATGTTTTTCAAACCGTACAAATTTTGTACAGAAAAATTGTATAATATATGTGAGCTACTTACAGTAAGAAAATTATATATTTTACAAACAGTTTTAAAAATGCATGGTAGTCTGACTTATGATTAGAACATTTTGCAAAAAAAGAAGAGGTACAGTAATTACAATAAATATATTAATTAATTCGCAACTATCCGCATAAAAATACAATGATGTGTCTTACCTGGATTGAAGAGCACCTCCCTCAATTGCGTAGACTAATCCCGTCACCACTAATCCCAACACCACTATTCCAGGAAAGACACACCATCGACGACAATACGACACGTGTTTCGCCTCTACACGAGGCATCTGCAGGTGATGTAGACTCTACGGCAGCTGACCGCTAAGTGAGCGGCGAGCCAAAACGGCTGCTATTTATACACGCCGACACAAGCGCTCCCCACCAAAGTAGTGAGTGACCGCGTCGTGCGATAATAAACCTGTGACTAATTATCATTGTTATTATTATGTATAAAGTGTTAGTATAAAGGGGTATCTATAAAGTTTTCTCATCTGGTTGGGTTCTAAAAATATATAATTATAAATTAAAATGAAAAGATAAATATACATAAATAAAATTAAAATAAAAGAAATACAAGAATATATAAATAAATAAAAGACCAACCAGATGGAAGCCCTCGGCAGGGGAGACCAAATGGCTGAGGGTTAGGAGGAAAGGGAAAGAAACCGGCGGACGATGCGGGTGGTATCGAGTAGCACCGCCTTCTGCATTTGAGCCCGGAACGGTCCGTCACGGAGTCCCAGTCGCCTCAGATAACCTGAGTGGCTGGTTGGGATTAGCCCATTCGCAGAGACGACTTCTTCTCCTTCCATACGGACTCTCGGTCAGCAGTGCTATGTACCCGCCGGTGCAGTGCCGTGCCGGGTTCTGCCATTGCTCGTTTGAAAAGGATAGAGGGGGTAAGTCCTTTATCACAAGAAATGACGTCCTATATAATGGATCATCCGATCTCACCAGAAAGTAATTACGGAGGCTGCACACTTCACGATTATGAATGGTGACCTTGCTTAAAAAGCCACGCCCTCCATGATTACGCGGCAAATACAGCCTCATTACCGACGATTTCGGATGATGCACTGCCAACTTTTCTATCCAGGGCGTTCAGACTGAGACCACCTAGTATGCCAAAGGTATACATGAGGACAGGCATGACCCAACCGTTATGTGTGTGTGTCTTATTCACACCGGACAAAAGGCTGTTAAGCACTTTTGTCAAGAGTGCATAAAACACGTTGCTAACTGACTGTTTCATACCAGCCTCATCGACATCGATGTTCTGTGACATACCCAGGTATCGGTATGTTTCAGCCTCGGAAAGGGTCTTTAAGTTGACGGGCACAGATAAATCTATGCCCTCAGAGTTAGCAACACTTCCTCTTTCAATATAAAGGACCGCACACTTATCCGTTTCCAGCTCCATTCTAATAGAATTGCTAAAAATTACAAGTGATGTTTTCGTATAGAAAATCGAATCGGGCGCACCGGACTCAGGCGCGAATGAAGATGATGAATTATCCAAAGATATTGCGGCAGGTACAGATTCAGATGAATTAAGTAGTGAAGATGACATCATACTGCAAGAGTTAACCAATTCGATGAGAAGGCAACCTTACCTAAAAGTTATGGAAGTGCCGAGAGTACTGTATGGAAAAAGAAAACATAATGACATAAATGGAGAGGCGTCCTACCAACTCGGCGTAGACTGCCGCAACGCAACATCATTACCAATCGAGCCAAAAACAGGTTCTCACTAATAGAAATACACTAACGTAATCTTTCTTCGTTTAAAGGACAGCACAAATACGAGCTACAAAAATAGAGTCTAATTTTAATGTACAATATGTATAAATTTAATAAGTGAAACAAACAATAATAGCCACAAAAGAAAAGAAAAGCAGCACTACGTAACTTTTCTTAAAATAAATTAAATTACGACACAAAAAACTCTCGACTTAATGTCTGCCTTGCCGATACATAGCCTAGTATTAAGCAAATCAAAATCATGCTTCTTGCATAATTACGAGTATTAAAATTAGTACCCGGATGATACTCGGTTTTAATTAAAAAAAATTTATGCAATTAGTTTAATTAAAATTTTCATATTTTTAAAAAAATACTGAAAAAAAGGCTCGAAATAATAGATTTTCTCACAAAAGAAGGGAACTTGAAAAAAAAAGGAAAAAAAGCCGGACCGAAGACAGGACGCGAACCAAGGAATTACGATTTCGCGACCGCTCGATATCCAATTGAGCTATTACGATCATTAAAACAATGCCATTTACCTTCTTATATCTTCTTATATTGTAGCAGTTTTTCATTACTTGAAAACACGGACAAAAAGACATTTTCTAAAAATAAATCCTAGCTAGATCGATTTATTGCCCCCGAAACTCCCTGGACACAACATTTTATGAAAATCGTTTCCGAGATTCCGATTATATATATATATATATATATATATATATATATATATATATATATATATATATATATAAGAATTGCTCATTTAAAGGTATAGGATTATTAAATCGATTTATGAAAGTATTTCTTCCATATTAAGTTGATGAAGCTGGTTCGTTTTAAGGTTCACTGTAGGTTCTCAGTGATATTTGTGATAGAAAATCAGAGTAGTCAACATTGCCAGAACAGATTTTCAATAAAAATACAATGTCAGCAATCTCCCGACTCTTTATCAGAGGTAACAGAATGATGCTGTTAGCATAAGGATAGACAGTCTTCTGATCGGTAGTTTCTATCGATACAATGGCAAAGATATCGTATGAATTTATGTTGGATACTTTTAATCCGTGAAATCTATGTATCATACATCGGATTCCAGATCTGCGAAGCATATTCAAGCGTATTGCGAACGTAAGTACAGTACAAGATTTTAATTAAAAATAAATATTTTTAATATTATTAAACTGCTTCGCCGTACGCAAGACAAATATCCTCAAATCCTCAAATCTTAGTAGATCTTCCTGCAGTAATTCAGCATCAGCTTGAGATGAATTCGTGAAAAATATTTTCATATCAGCAAAACAGTAGGTGTGATGATTTAAAACAGGTTTCAATGTCGTTAACAAATATAAGAAATAGCAAAGGCCCCAGCAGCAGCAGGACCCCTGTGCTACGCCACACAGATACCAACATACTGAAGCTTTTTTAAAAGCAAATTGTGTTCAATCCGGTCGAAAGCCTTACTATAATTTGTATAAACAACGTCAACTTGATGACCATCATCCATGGCTTTAGTCAAGAATACATTAAGGAGCACCAAGTTGGAAACGGTAGATCTACTCTTGAAGAAACCTTGTTAAGATTGGTTTATGCTTTGAGTAACGGATATACCTGCTCATTAACCAACTTTTCAAAAATAAGATCGTAAAGTAACTATCAAGTTAGGCGGTTACTTTACAGGGAAATGGTTCTTGAAACGCAATGAAGCCTAAGCCAATGTACGTAATATTTTTTTTGCTTTGTTGTTATGTAGTTTATTTTGTAGTATTGAATCCTTTTTTGGTTATCAGAATGTTCAATAAGATATTTTGTTGTGTCAATATAACGATAATTAAACTTACTTTTTTATAATTCTAATTTTGAATTGATAACCTGGGGCGGGCACAAGACAATTCTGGGGAAGGTAAGACCCACTCGGCCACCTACTACGAGTATATGTACCAATGAGGGCTAATAATCTTCGGCTCACCAGATGTCTCTAGTTAACACTGAGGTGAAATTTTTTGTTACACAATGTAATTTAATTGAGAAGTAAGTTTTAAATAAACGTTTATCAGTTTTTAGAATATTACACTAATACATAAAACAATGCCTCGGTGGTTTGCTGTTTAATTTTTTGCACATTTCTAACTCTTTTTTAACATTTTCTAATTTTATGAATATCTGGGGATTGGTTTATTTACATTTAATCTAATTATTATTCAAAATATAACTAATAGTCCAGAAAGAAACATTAATATTTACAATTTTCGAATAAATTAACTTTCCCGCTATAAATCCTCCAAATATTACACCTCATTTTTAAGTGGCGCCGACCTGGTGGCAGAAAAAGTTGTGGGTGCCCTCATAAATACCATGTTGCTAAATGGAAGTCTTCGGGAAACCGGTTCGGTAACAAAGTATTCTTATTTATAATAACACAATGAAAAAAAAATAACTTAACTTTGTTTTATTGTCTTTATTAGGAAATGAAACATAATTTATGTTGTCCGTGTAAGTACTTAATTTTATCACAATATATTTCTTTCATTTACATCACCATATATTCTTTTTTGCTTAATATTAAGATTATAATATAATTATGACATAAAGTTCGAGGTAGCGCTAGTGATAATAATATATATTTAATAGACATCAATACCCACACCTCAATGAAAATTATATACTTACCTATAATAACTTATAATACAAAACTATATTTTTAAGAAAAAAAGTGTTTTTGATACAAAGAATACTGGTAAATTCTAATTCTAATAACTGTTTTAATATTATTAATATTAAAACAGTAGGACAATATTCCTATTATTTAATATGGTATTATAGCTATTAGTTTATTTTTAATTTTATTATACTCCCTTCTAAGTTTTAAACATATTCAAATGTTAGCAAAGCAAATAAGTACCAACACAAAGGTTGAAATAAAAATTTAAAAGCATTATATTAATTAAATTTAACTTTAAAACATATCACGCAAAGTCCACGCATACTACTCGACCGATAATTCAGAACAAAAACTGTCACAGGCATTGAAGTATAATACGTAGTGGGTAATATTATTTATTCTGTGATATAATGTACTTCATATTACTTCAGTGTGGTCACAGTTGTAGATCCTGTAAGCACGGGCTTCGGCCGGGCTGGCAGATGGCACGGTGAATAATGAATATGCCACGCAGTTCTATTTTCATTTACGACTGTTAATGTTTTAGGTAAATACGAAATAAAGTTATATACTTATCTAAAATAAACTTTAAATCACGTTTTTATTACAAATTATTATTATTGTTTTCGACAAACAAAATGAGTGTTTGTCGAAAACAATGTTCGCGGTTTACAAAACAAAAAACTAGTCTACTCGCCCGCTCGCAGTCAACTGAGAAGTTATGGAGAATTAACCGTAATTTAGTGCGCAATGTATAGTACCGTAGTGCCAGTCTAGTAGTGTACATAGAAGTCTTTGAATATTGTCATGGAGTGTAGAGGTAAGGAGAACCGACTCTGTATAAAAATGTGTCCGAAGGAAAGCGCTGACAAAGGGTGGCACCACTGTAGCTGGAGGGTAAATTTTAAAGAACTTTTTATAATTTTTATTACACAGATTTTCACTATAATTCTTTTTTATAATAATTATTTTATTATTTTCAAAATTTTTATTTTCAAAATCACTCTCAACGTGTTTCACGGCGACTTTTCTAGGTTATATTTACAAAATTATTTTAGACATCGTGAGTAGTTGAGGTTTTAAATACTGCAGTTTCATCAACTGTTCTAGTCACCACAAATGTTAAATTTCTCAACTCAGCACACTTCACTCCGTCGACAACTACCTAATAAGTTCATTTCATACCTTCTAGCTACTCGAGCGCTGTTATGGAGAGTTTTTGAACTGTTATTTACTGCTTACAAATGGACACCTTTTCAACTATTCTCCTATATAAGATGGTTCTCCTTCTTATGTTAATAACTATTTCAAATAAGATTTATTTGAAACATGTACAATAAAAGTTCTTACATGCAAATATTTTCAATATATGATAAATACGTACATATTATATCAAATATGTCGACGTGTTAATTCACCAAAAGCACCACCTCAAATGATTACTTAAATCTAACAATAAATTAAATCACAAACTATTATGATAGTGATTGTAATTATAGACACTAGACAGTCTTCCCAGAAAACGCCTATTATTAATTAATACTCATATTATGTACTGAGTCCTCCCATCCCATAAATTTTTAGTAAATAATGGATGTACATATAAAAATAACAAATTTTAAGCATCACTTTACTGTAATGAATCGGGTTTTGTGTTTAATTTTATTACATTTTTTTAAAGTGATACAATGTCAAATTAAATTAAGAATTAAGGTCTTGTTGTATTAGAATGACTCAAAAACACAGCAGATTTCTAAGAAAGGATAAAAATGCATCAATTTTATATATCTTTTGATTTCGTTACACCAATTGTTTTTAAACTTCACTCCTCATTGAGTTTTGAAATAATTCCTTAAGCAGTATTTTACTTGGCTGGTATAAATATACATGCCTATTAATATAATAAGTAGGTATATAATATTGAAGACAAACTAATAATCAGACGACGGCGAGACAAAAATCTTAATTCAATATTCAATTTAAAAGGGATCTCAAGCCAGATGTGAGGCGTATAGGCTGTATTATATTGAAAACTATGCGAAACGTCTTTTATGATACTGAGTACCCCATACGGCTAGTATTTGTAAGCGCTCGTGTGAGCTGTATGTACATTTTAAGTTTACAAATATATAAATCGTAATAAGATGAGAGAACAAACTTATTCTGTAAAAGTTTTGTAGCCTCATATATCAATACAAAATGAAAATCAATGTGTAAAGAGAGTTTGTAAATATGACCAATTTTTACAGTTCATAATTTGTACAAGATAAAGGAAAATATATTTTAAAATGCTCTTGCATATGGCCAGTTATTGCTAGAAGACGAATGGTGATCTAAATAAGGACTATCAGTTAGTAGCAGTTTGCTGCCACTTAGCCCTGAACTGGAACTCTCGCTGGAAGAGAACATACTCTTACTGCCGGTGTAGAAAGAGAGAGAGGTGTGTAGTGGCTCACGGGTTACTCGCCGTCTCGCTCGGATCAACGCTGCAAACGCTACGGCTATAGCACACAGGAATATCAGGCCCAAAATGCAGAAGGCTAGGGCCATTTTCCCTGGTGATAAACATATTGTTTTGTCTCCTGGAGAGAATCCTAGTCTGACGAATTCATCCTTCTCGGCGTCTAACCGTCTTGAACCTGGAACATATTGAACTTAAATAAGTTAATTAGTTATAAAATATTAAATATATGTACCACGCTATGTATCGAAACCAACGAATCTGTCACCTAATCTACCCCATTGATGTCGCTGGGTAATGCCCGGAATGTCGCGAGCAGGAAATTGCTGCATAACCATCTCTTATGCTGACTGCCCAGACCAGAGATCGTAGCGGCACTGAGCAGGTGTATTGGGCCGCTGTTTAGTAAATTAGACAGTGTTGCTCGTAGTGCAAAATGTTTTACTTATAGTACGAATGAGTCGGCCCGTCCGGGGTATGACCACGCTCTCATAGAATACCAGCGTAAGATAGCAGCTTAAGGCTGCTGTATTTCGTATGGTGAGTATAGAGAACCGGAGACTATTTTTACTGGAAACGAGGCATTCCATCCCAGTCCTCAGGAGTGAACGCATCTGCATTTTGATTCTTAATCGAGGATAAATGTAGATGTCTATGGGCCACAACATCCACTTACCATCAGGTGGACTGTGTGCCCGTTTGTCACCATTATTCTATAAAAATCAATAAAACGCTCACGAGTACGCTGGAATGGCAACTACAAAGGTAGACATGAAATTGTTCAGCAAGCATGTCTAAGAAATAAAATTCGAGGACATGTCAATGATATTAAAGGATGTCTGTGTTCAGAAGGGGAAAACGAAATGGGGAACTAGAAAATATAAGAATTTTAGTAGAAAGTGTTAAAGTTTAGTATTAGCGTTTTTTACAACAAAGACTTTAACAAATATATTGCTCTAGTAATGCAAGTCACAGTTTCCGTGCAAAGACTATATATTCTCTATGTTTCCGTGTAACTATACTGCGTTAATCTTCTACGAAAAAACCAAGATAAATGTGTTGTTACTTAAGAAAAAAAAGATTGCTTTCGACACATCAACCAACGTATTGTCTTCAATAAGAAAGTTATAATACTCGCCTCTGATTGAAGCTTCGTCTTCCAACTCGATGTTAGGCGCTAAAACTTCTATACTATTGTATACTTCCAGTCTGTCTATAACTAATCCTCTTGCGTCTTTGTCCAATCTAGCCTTTCTTAGCAGTCCGTCTCTTGTCTGCTGCGGTTTTCTCAACGCTTGACAGTCGACTTTTGGACAATTGCCTTTACAGAGCTCGACTCCACAGGTCAGATGCAACTTTGCTCTATCAGGGAACTTGAAGGCAGAGAAGGTGACCACGGCGTGTTGGTACGTCATGATTTTCTTGAACATATATTCGGGGTCGTCCTTCGTTAGCTTCATGCTCGTAGTTTCGTCAATGTTCCGCTGAGGATCGGCCGACGTCAATTCAGAGATGTCTACCTCGCTGCGCTGCTTGTGCTCGTGTATAGTAGGGCTGCCGAAGATAGATTCGTCGATGGGGCAGCCGGCTTCGTCTAGAAGTTTCTGCGATGCTTCACCAAGGCCGTCGTGGGCGATGCAGTTTGTTATGCGTAGACCAACACCGACTGTAAAAAGTAACGTAAAATATTAATTATTAGACGAATATGCCATATCTCGTCCCGTGGGTGTCGTAAGAGGGACAGAGAGAAATTCAAACAGGAGATGGGCAGCAGCTAATGCCTGATAACAACTCAAAATAATAAAAAGCTGCGGTTGCCAACCCGCTCGCCGAGAGTGTCAACTATGGCAAAATCCCCCCTATAAGGCAATCTATGGGGGAGGCCTGTGTTCAGCAGTGGATTTTTATAGGCTGTGATGAAGATGATGATGATGATGAATATGCCATCTAAGTAAGGGATCCTTTAGATGGTAGAGCTATATTACTGCTATTATTGGTGTGTACTACTATGCGAAAAGTGAGTGAGGAGATCAGCTGACTTTCATTTATGGTAACAGGGCATACATCACTTCCATTTTAGCTCTTACGGATAACAATGCATCTGCATTCTGTTCTTTATTTTGTATGACGGTGTTCTCGTTTGTCACCCTTACCGTTTCTTGAATAAAAAAACTATAGATTTCTGTTTATTTCTCAACATACACATCATTATTAATGTTTTAATCCAGTCTTTCTCAAAGTGGGCGATAACGCCCCTTTGTGGGTGTTGGAGACCTAGAAAAAATGGGGGAGCGTTGGCGTGGTTTAGGGGGCGATGGTTGATTTGTAATTTCATTGAGATACTTATTTTAAAATTTGCTAAAATTAAACCTACCTACTACTCAATATCGAATAATTAGTTTATATTTCTGTCCTGTAGGATGGTATATAAACTTAGATTTCCTAGCCCGTACGCCGTACGCAAACAAGTTGTAGTTGTTGTTGCACGCTATTGATGCAATCCGGTAGTAATCGATAGTTGGTCGAAAGAGATAAACGAGTTTGTGCGTTTTGTCTTATTCCTGTCGGTGCGTGCTGTATTTCAATCCTATATAAAACTCGTAATAATTTTATATATTTTCATTAGTAGTTCCGCGCGCAATCTTTAAACAAGTGTTTAATTTCAACCCTTTATTTACATATTTGTAAAAACAAAGCCATGTCGGAAACAAAGAAGAAGAGACGGTAATATAGTGAAGAATATATTAAATATGGATTCATAGAAAATTCGACCAATCCATTTTTGCCTTTGTGCGTTCTTTGTTTAAAAACATTTTCAAACGAAGCGATGAAGCTTTCATAACCAAGATCATTTTAAAAAAATGTATTCAGATAAGAAGGTCAAAAATGTAGCCTATTTTCAAGACCTGGAAAAAAAGCATAATGCTCAGCCAAGTATATCAAAAATTTTTTCGGTGTCTGTTAAGCAAGACTATGACGGCCTTCGAGAGCTTCATGCAATACGTCTTTGTAAATTGCTCAAACTGGTAAACCACACACCATCAGAGAAACGTTAATTTTGCCGGCAGTAAAAGAAGTTATAACTACTGTGCTACATAAACCAGCAACAGACATAATTTGAAAAATTCCTTTGACCAATAGTTCTGTGCAAAGACGAATTGATGAAATGGCTGAAAACATTAAAAAGTCATTGTGCAATCATCTGTAGACTAGTCAATTTTCAATTCAGTTGGATGAGTCCACTTTACCAAGTTGTTGCTGTCTTACGTGAGGCTTATTACAGATGAAAAAAATATGTCAAGAACTATTCTTTGCTAGAAGTTTAGAGACAGACACAAAATGAGAAACCATATTTAAAACACTGAAAAAGTTTTGTGATGAAAAAGGAATTCCCTTGAAGAATATTATATCAGCTGCTCCAGATGGTGCTCCAGCTATGACGGGGTGTGAAAAAGGTTTCATAGCGTACTTTAGAAAGAAAATTCCAGATGTGCTTGCTGTATATTGCGTTATACATCGACAACATTTTGTTGCTAGAAATTTATGTGAACGACTGTTTTAATCAATGCAAAATGACATCAGAGCAGTCAATAAAATCCGAAACAACTCTTTAAATGACAGATTATTTAATCAGCTTTGTGTTACTAATGATGAAGATGATTTCAACCGATTGATCTTTCACACAGAAGTGCGTGGTTATCAAAAGGAAATTGTCTGACTCGATTTTACAATTTGTTTGACTCTGTCGCAGAGTTCCTAGAAAACAAAGACACAGAATTACAAAAAACGTCGTCGCTGCTTTCGTAGCCAAGCTGCTCTTACACAAGAAGAATATCGGCCGACATGAGTTTCATAATTTTCCAATTTATCAGTATCTAGTATCATAGTCTACTGCCAACATTTGGAAAATCTCCAGTGATTTCATTGAAAGATCTCAGGACATTTTGAAATTGGAAATACCAGACTGGGGTGTTAGATCCTTTTTCAAATGTCTACATAGCAGTATCACACCTACTGGAAGAAGAACTTATATAGAACTGACAACGAATGAGGAAATAAAAATCAAATTCAAAAAAGGCTACCAATAATTTTGGCGGTAAAAGTCAATCCCGCAGTTGTACCTTGGATTGTGGTCGAATCTTCAACGATTTTTGGAAGCATTCCCATCGTCATAATTGTGTGAATGTGGATTTAGCGCTGTGACAACGCTGCTTACTAAAAGAAAAAAATCATTTGCATGTTATCGAACGCGGCGACTTACGACTGTTTTTGAGTGAAATCGAACCGGATATCAACTATCTCATTAGATTAGTTTTAAAACTAAAATTGATTACCTATCCATATTGTTTCTTTTAATTTGATTTTTAATTTCTCTTTGTGTTTTAATTGCTCTCACTGATAAACACCAGAACCGACTAATATAGCACACCAAAACTAAATTAATTGAAGTAATGAAATTGTGTTTTTAAGTTTTAGGTGAAAGTGAGTGTAAGTTTTAGGTAAAAAATTAGGGTCGCTGAAAAACATTGAGCTATTACGTACTACGTACTAGAGGCGACACAGCATTCAGCTACTATGCTACACTCAACTGCGGTGCATACACCGCACTTTAATCAGTCACTCCCTAGGCGCATATAGAGTTGTTACGTGTTGTGTTGATTAAAAAAAATCTCTTGATAAAAATATGCCGTCGTGTGTACTTAGATATTGCACAAATAATTCAAGAAATGTAAGTAAAAACCAAGGAATTACTTTTCATCGGTTAATAAGATACTTAATCAATAAAAAAGTATTATAGATTATTAATAAAACAAATTATTCCTAAGACGCCATCTCGTGTCATGGAATATAGATTATTAAGAAATTAATATGATCATATGCGACATTTCTGTGGTTACTTAAGTATAGAATGAATATATTATTATACACATTTTCTTTTGTAGAAACACATATAAGTTATTATAATAAGGCTAAATTTTTCATCTTTAAATTTGCTTATTATTTTTTTTATTTTATTTTTAGGTTTCCACATCAAAGTCAAAGTGAAATAAATTCGTCCATTTTCGACTCTTATTCTAATTTAAATAAATATATTTGTAATTTAAATGTTATGTTAATAAGTTTTGTTAAACATACATTTAGTATGTTTTTTATATTTGACATAGATACTTTTAAAATATTCAGATAAAAATATCATTAAAATGTAATTGTGATATAATATTATGTAATATATTAAATAAGCAAATATAATATACAAAAAAATGACAAAATTTAAAAATTGTTTTCGATATAATTTACCTATTTAACAACACAATCTACTATTACCTACGGATAATTCTACCTATGTTTATTCTATGATAAAAAAACCAATCGTGCGAACACAGAGTAGCGCACATTTTTTGTTTGAGATAGCTGTTCTAGTACGTAAGTATACATATTACTTCAATGCTGAAAAATAATTGATTTTCAAAGGGGCGGTAAAAGAAATAAGTTTGATAATCTCTATTTTAATCGAAGACTTCTATGTATACATGTCCCCCAGTACTAGACTGGTACTACGGTGCTAATACATTGCACATCGACTGCGAACGGGCGAGAAGTCGAACTCTTTGTTTTGTAAATGACACGTTGTTTTTCGACAATCTAACACCAATTTTGTTTAAAGTAATTACGAAGACGCTGTCTTTATTTATGTTCGCATTTTGTCAACGTGATTTAAAGTTTATTTCAGTTAGGTATGTAAATTGACTTCGATTTGTCTAAAAACAGTAATTCTATAGTAAATAAAAATAAAAATGTTGTAAATGAAAAATACTGTGATAGTTACCCAATTATAGGCGGGGCGCGCCCGAGCCATCCATAGCTGTGTCACCGTATTTGATCTGAATTTCCGGTCTAGTAGTATTTTTTTTATTAAGGACAACAAACAGTTGTACAAAAAATAGTAGTATACATAGGAGAATAGTAAAAAAAGTGTCCTTATGTAAGCAGTAAATAACAATTCAAACTCTCCACAACAGCGCTCGAGTAGCTACAGGGTGTGAAATGAACTTAGCAATTGTGGACGGATTGAAGTGTGCTGAGTTGAGGAATTTAATATTTGTGGTGACTAGAGTAGTTGATGAAACTGCGGTATTTAAAACCTCAACTACTTACGTTGTCTAAAATAATTTAGTAAATGAAACCTAGAAAAGTCGCTAAGGAACCACGTTGAAAGTTATTTAGAAAATAAAATTTTTAAAAACAATAAAATAATGATTATAAAAAAGAATTATGGTGAGAGTCTGTGCAATAAAATTTTATAAAAAGTCCTTTAAAATTTACCCTCTAGCGACAGTGGCGCCACCCTTATTTAGCGCTCTCCTACGGACACTTTTTAATACAGAGACGGTTTTCCTCATCTCTGCACTCCATGACAGATGTGTTTGGTTTGAATAATGATGAAAAAGTGGCGTACCGGGCAGCGTGCACTGCACGAGGAGACGCGTGGGCTGGCCCACCTCGACGGCGGCAGGCTCGGCGCCACCGCCGCGCTCGGCGGGCGCCAGCTGCATCCAGGCGCGCGCGGCCTGCAGCAGCGCCTCCCGCTCCAGCTCTGCCGTGCTCGCGAAGACCTGCCGGTTGCGACCCGTCCTGCACAGTCGTGGACACCGCTCGCACTTTATACATGGTATCATCACCCAATTTGAAAAGTGGGAGTGGAAGGATACGCTAAATTATCATGATCATTTTAGGTTTCTCTGTATACCTATCGTCGTCATTAATAGATACTAGTGGTCGCCTCGTGGCCAAAATTCGAGTGTAATTCATAATATTTTTACGTTTGTATGTTAAACAAGCTGTATTTCACTCTCAATTCCACACTAATATGGTATAAAACACGGATTTATAACATACAAAACATAAAATAAACACTTTTTTGCCATCACATACATTTAGACCGGATGGTCGGGATTCGTCTGGATTCTCTCAACATTTTAAATTATCTCCAGACTCCAACAAAACTTCAAATCTCCAAATAAACAGCTTCTAATTAGACTGAATTTTGAAGTACTTAAATGGCTTGTATTTTAAATATTTTCTAAATACTTACAATAATTGGTGGACTCAGTAAAGTCCAATACAATCTAAAATTATAGATATATATTTAACAATGTAATAACAGTAGAATAAATGCGAACAGTTAGGTGTATGTTGGGGTGACTTGGAATGACAGGGCGAGAAATTGTGTGGTAAGAGGAAGGTGTTACTTTTTGTAGCCGGTTCATTTAAAAAATAATATTCTTATTTTACATTTTTGTTTATAATATTGTTTCTCCCGACAACAACCCCATAATCCCGACTTTTTCAAATTTTGCCCAGATATTTTGGTCTTTCGATCTAGCATTCCTACATACACTCCACACACAGACTTAACAGAAAAGTAACATTTCAAATCTACAGCTGCTTCAGTTAATCCGTCAGTAATTATTTTTCGGCAAATTCTCGGACGATCGCACCTCTCGCACTCTCAAACTTCCCATCTTGGTCACAACATCTACTAGTAGTATAGGTATAGTTTGCACTATACCTTCCTCTTACCACACATTTCTCGCCCTGTCATTCAAAGTCACCTCAACATACACCTATCTGATCACATTTATTATACTCTCGCGCATCTTCTACTTCACCCTACTATCACTACCATACATTATGGAAGGGACTAACACAGAATTGTGAATTGCCATACGTAGGTACCTTTTTGACACTTTCTGACTTCCCACAATAGATTAAAGAATACATTTACTCTGTATCTTGCATTCAGCATTCACTCGTCGTTTTATATCCTTATCATGTCTACCATTCATCCTAAATACATAACCACACCTGTTTTTTTATTATCTGTTTTTACAGCTTTGGGTTCTAGCCTTTTTGAGCCTAACCACACCTGTGCAACTGTTTGACCACAGACTATTAAGTGTTAGACATTGGATTTAGAATAATGATATACTTTGAGACATTGACACTGGCACAGTGAACGTTAAGGCTCAATTTACATTGCCGCGGAACGGAATGGCAGCGAATTTTTGTAACAAAATTGTACATAGTAAAATGAGTCTTATGTTAATTGTGTAACGTACAAACTAGATATGAGCAAAAAAAGAAGTCGCGCGCCTTCCAGGAAATTCACGCGCTTTCTCGGGGATTCTGTGGAATCCGCGGGAAGTGTCGCGAAGGGTGACGATTTTTTTTCTTCCATAAATCATTTTATACCCAATTTTTTTCCTTTTTCTGATATTCTTCCTTTACCCATCATTTTCTTCTTCTGCCTCGCTCATAAGTAATATCCAATCAACCATTCTTGTCAAATAAAGATCTAGACTAAATAAGTGATTGTTCACTATTGGCTCAAGGCGTAATTTTTTATAGAATAAGGGTATGGTAAGTGGACGGCCCATAGACATCCACATGTATCCTCAATTAAGAGTAATTAAGACCCTAATTAAAAGCAATTCTTGTTATATATATATATATATATATATATATATATATATATATATATATATATATATATATATATATATATATATATAATCGAAATCTCGAAAACGGTTCCAACGATTTTCATAAAATTTAGTGGCCAGGGAGTTTCGGGGGGCAATAAATCGATCTAGCTAGGATTCATTTTCAGAAAATGTCTTTTTTGTCTGTATTTTTAGGCAATGAAAAACTGCTACAATATAAGAAGGTAAATTTTGACACTGTGTTAATGATCGTAATAGCTCAAGTGGATATCGAGCGGTCGCGAAATCGTAATGCCTTGGTTTTGGTTTTCACGTCCTGTCTTCGGTCCGATTTTTTTTTTCTTTTTTTTCAAATTCCCTTCTTTTGTGAGAAAATCTAATATTTCGAGTCCTTTTTTTTAGTATTTTTTAAAAATACGAAAATTTTAATTAAACTAATTACACTCATGATTTTTTATTCAAATAACCAGTTCAGTTTTTTCTATTATGTCCATAAGATCCAAAAAATATTATCCATCAGTATGTAATTTGTATCTAAATGTAATTTAAAAAATCATCCGGGTCATCCGGGTACTAACTATTTTATGCAAGCAACAATAATTATGAGTTTTACATTAGCAGAATGAATGTAAAATATGTAGGTATGTTTTATTTTATTATATTTCTCCATATAAACTTTAACTATGTCAATTCTCACAATGCCCCGTGCGCTCAATAAGCTTAAAAAGGGGTATAACGTTTTCTGTTCACGCATTATTATAATATAGATTTGTGATACTCGTACTGGAATTTTATTTTGCAGGCAAATGTCGATAACGCCTTTCTACCGACTAAAACCTCACGTTTATCGTTATGGTTCAAATATATTTTAGTGGAAGTATTATATTTAATCAATTGTTAATCAAACAAATAACTTGTTTGGTTACGTTGATAATATCCTGAGGGGGAGACCCTGGTGATCCGTAACACAGGCTTCCGCCTGGTACAGACACCAGACTCTCAGCCCATAGTGTACACTGTTTATACTCTAACTTGTTAATTTAAATTGTGAGAGTAAATAAAATATATATTATTATTATTATTTACCTACCTAACTTTCTTAACTTCTTGCCCGGATAGTTCACGTAATTTTGTCTTGATAACTCCTTCCAGAGCCGAGCTGTGAATGCGGACCGCGCGTGGTTGCAATTTGCACCTGAAATTGATAGTTAAATTAACATTTGCTGGCCAAAGAAATAGAGTAATACCTATGTAGTAAAAGCGATCCCTCCAGTAGGCACCCCCCCCCCTTTTTTATTTTTTTTTTTAAGGTAAAATAAATATTGTTTATTAACGCTAAGAAAAAATAACTGCGGTTGCTAACCCGCTCGCCAAGCGTGGCAACTATGGCAATAGAGATGATGATGGGAGTTACGAAGAGACGGGTCTCAGTCTCCGGCGGCCTCGCTATTCCTGGCTACGGTGGCGACCATGTAATGGCGGGGCAGGAGATGGGGTACCTAAGACGACTCGACTTGGCAACATAAAGTGCAAGCACCCTACGACAGAAGATCTGACAAAGAAGAGGTAGAAAAGTTGCGCTGGCATATTATAGGATTGTCCGAGTTCCGAAGAAAGAGGAGGTCACGGTAATCTTAGAATGTGACAATTTGTTCTATCACAGGGAGGGCGACCATCTGTCCCAAGGTGTCGGATTTATCGTCCACAAGTCTCTTGTTAACAACGTTGTAAATATTGGGAGTGTGTCGACAAGTGTTGCGTACGTTATACTCAGAATCACCAAACGGTATTCGCTGAAGGTCATTAAGAATCAAAATGTAGATGTGTGGTTACCCCTGAGAACTAAGCTGGAATGCCTCGTTTCCGGAAGAAAGGGTCACTGGTTCTCTACGGTCACCATACCATAAGAAACACAGCAGCATTGAGTTGCTATTTTACGCTTTTATTCTGTGAGAGCGTGGTCCTTCTCCGATCGAGGCGACCTATTCGTGCTACAACCATAATATAGTTACAGCATGGCTCTACCACGTAAAATGGGTACCACGTGAAGATGGATACGTTTTTAAGGTCCATTACATTTTTAGTGACTCAAATAGTAATTTTTCAACTCATTGAAGTACTCGGTAAAAAATATAAATTCAATTAGACTATAGCACTATAGGCTAATAAGCGACTATAAAATTGTTTTCCTGATGCTTCATTCATTCATTCATTCATTACAGTTTATCAAAAGTCGACTATTAATCGTAGGCCTCAAAGATTGCCACAAAGCAATATTAACCATAGTTGGCAAGCTTGGGAGGCGATTTAGCAATCGCCGTTTTATATTATTTTTAGCTGTGATTAAGGAGATGCTGCTGCCCTTATTCTGTTTCGATGCCCCTCACTCGCTTATTACGTTACTCACGGGATTACATCAATACACAGCAATACAACACATTTCTATATTAATTAAAACAAATTACAAAGTATGCTCGCTAAAGCGCCTGACAGAATAAATTAGCTAAATATTCTAAAAGCGCCTGACAGAATGAATTAGCAAAATATTCTCTGAAAAACGATAATTTTTACTCACCTTACCATGAGTTCTTGATCAGTTAATTGTTGCAGCTGACGATCCATTTGCACGACGAGTTCAACGGTATAGTACAAATCGTCAGTATCGTCTGGTTCTTTTACTGACGAGTTAAGAGTGGACGTCCGAACACCACACGCGTTAGAAGGTAAGTGCAGAGAAACATTCTGTTGCAGCTTTCCTAAAATTTTAAAGGAATTAATCTAGTATGTTACATAAATATATTTATTGGACTACTTCAACCAATACACCTGTACCCTACAGTCACTTTCAGAAGAGTAATCACTTCTTGTTTATTTTATAGAATAAGGGTGACAAACGAACAAACATTCAACCTGATGGTAAGTGGATGCTGCGGCCCATAGACACGTTTATCCTCCATTTAGAATTAATACGTAGATTCGTCGTCACCCCTAAGGACTAAAATAGAATGTTAAGTCTCCTGTTCTTTACGCTAACTATATGAAACAGCTAACTTACACAGGTATTCTATGAGAGCGTTGTCCTTCCCTGGTGGAGCCATTCGTGCTAGAACCATAATATAGGTAGGTAGTTACAATAGTTACAATGAGTAAGTATGTATATTTTACTGACTATATCATTTCTATTCATTTGCATTTTATTTTGTTTTACATCCTCATTATTTATATATCAACACCTGCACAATCCGTATTCATAAGTATACTATACAAGTAATATTCAGTTCTAAATATTTATTCATTTAAGACTTCATAAAGTTAAAGACGAAAAGAAACTAATTTTAATTCAAACCTGTTTTTACCACGGTTCAAGTTTTATTATTAATTTTACCTTGCACTCGACATTCCCTAGAGAAGTCTTTGCTGAACACGAGACCTTTGAAGGGTTGTTCCATCGTGATGTGCACAGCCATGGAGTTCTTGTCACACGTCGTCGACACATCGATGACCCGATTAGAGCGACAGTGTACTCGACTGACTGCTAGGAGGCTTATCACCGCCACACGCCACATCTCGGTTGGCCCTGCAAAGAAAACCACAATGACACAAACGAACTTATAAAAAAAAAAAAAATATATATATATATATATATATATATATATTTGATGATAATAAAATGATTTTCAGCTGATTTAAAACAGCAAAACCTTTTAGTTAATAACTTTTTTACGTAGTAGAGCCATGCTGCAGTTATATTAGTAGTAAATAGTTGTAGCATGAATGGGTCGGCTCGACTGGGGAAGGACCACGCTCTCACTATCGTATACTAGCGTCAAATAGTAGCTTATTGCTGCTGTGTTTCGTATGGTGAGTGTAGAGAACCGGAGACCCTTTTTACTGGAAACGAGGCATTCCATCTTAGCCCACACGTTTGACAACGCATCTGTATTTTGATTCGTAATCGAGGATAGATGTAGATGTCTATGGGCCACAGCAACCACTTACCATCAGGTGAACTGTGTGCTCGTTTACTGTGTGTGTGACCCTTTCCTATATAAAAAAAAAACTATAAACTGTCATGTATGCATTAGAATTCTGAATAATTCACATTGTTGGAGAATAAGACTTTTAAAATACTTTCTTATATTAATATTAACTGCTAGATTTTTTAATTCTGTTAATTTTGGCTCATATTATACCTAAATGGGTATAACTTAATGTTATAAGAATATCCACTATCGTCCCTTGGGTGTCTCTTTTGATATAATAATTACAGTTGTTTGAGAGACAACTAAACATTTTATCTTCCTCTTAAACAAATGGGCTTCTTTATGATTTTATCCCCTTTAAGTAACGAGGATGATATATTATATCAAAAGAGTCGACAGAAAGAAATCGAAACAGGTGATTGACAGCAGCATCTTCCTGATGACAACTCAAAATAATAATAAACTGCGGATGCCAATCCGCCAGCTAAGCATGGCAACTATGGCAAAATCCTCCCTATGAGGCTATCTAAGGGGGAGCCCTACGTTCAGAGGTTGTCTTTTATACGCTGATAACTTAATGTTCACGAATTGACAAATTTTCTAAACGATCGCTTTTGATTGAAACAGGATTTTTTTATATTTCTTCTGATAGTATTCAAAAAAATTAATAAATCCCTTTTTTGGCAACTGTATCATTTTTAACCCCCTCTAGATGGAGCGACCTGTTAAAACATGTGAGGAGTCTAGCTCTAATGGATGAATGTGGACCGTAAATCGCGGCAGTCTGCAAATTATTTTATAAAATTTGAGTGACAAACGAGCACACAGTCCACCTGATAGTAAGTGGATGCTGTGGCCTGTGGGCCATAGACATACACATATTCGTACACTACACATCTATTTATTTATTTATTCTTTATTGCATCCTTAAAACAAAAGAATCATAGATTAAGAATCAAAATGCAGATTGTCACCTGTTAGTAAGTGGATGCTGTGGCGTGTGGCTCATCAACATCTATCCTAGATTAGGAATCAAAATACAGATGGATTGTCAAAAAAAAAAAGACTAAGATGCTTCGCTTTCAGTACGGTCTCCGGTCCTCTACACTCAATACACGAAACACTAATTTGCCAGGTATTCTGTGAGCTGATAAATTTTGGTAGGCTGTAATGATAATGATCAATGAATTAAAATAGTTTACAAGTAATAATATAAAATAGTTTAGGAAGCTAACTTTTTTCATCAAAACGCGGTTGTAAATAAACTTACGAGTATAATCACAGGCACCTGAAGTATAATCGCTTGCGCAACTTTTCGCTTTATCTTACTTTCTGTGTTTATGGATGTCAGTGGTTCAATTAGGTGTTCAATTAAGATCATAACAATTTAAATTAATTCATATTATGACGCAACAGAAAGACTAGATAAAGACGTTGTGGTTAACTTCAGATAAGTATCAGTAAAATTTTATGTACGTGTGATCGTTGACGAACAAAATAAGTTAACGCTAAAAATCAAAATGTTAGGTCACACTTTATTGTCAAATTATGTCAACGAATATATATATATATATATATTCTGAGGCTAAACATTGGCTTCCCCGATCAATGAGGGTATAATTGGCGTTTAGCAGGCAGAATGGCAATCACAGTTGTTTTTATTATTTTGAGTGTTTACCAGGAAGACGCTTCTGTCCATTTACTGTTTCACTTTTTCCTTACAATGAATCATGATGTCAAAAAATTTTTACTTAAAATAATTTAAAAAAAAAACTGCGTAGTGGATTCTCTCACGCCGCGCCGCCGGGGCGAGGCTTATAATTTCGTAAAAAAATTTTTGTAATAAGAAACATATTTATAATGCCACCAACTTATCTCTTCAGGTAGACAAAATTGGAAATAATCCATTTTATAAATGACATTTCGCTGTAAGCTTTTTTCTTTTTTTTTATAGGATAGGGTGACAAACGAGCACACAGTCCACCTGATGGTCAGTGGTTGCTGCGGCACATAGACATCTACAAAATGCAGATGCGTTATCACCAGTGAGGACTAAGATGGAATGCCTCGTTTCCAGTAAAAAGGGTCTCCGGTTTTCTACACTCACCATACGAAACAGCAGCATTATGCTACTATTTCACGCTGGTATTCTGTAAGAGCGTGGTCCTTCCCCGGTCGAGCCGACCCATTCATGTGCAGTGAGGAGAGTGATTTGTTTGATTTAATTGTAAAAAGTGCAAATATATATATATATATATATTATATGTAGTCACCTATTTCGTCGGTAAATTTCGTAAGTGCCAGTAGTAAGCTCTCCACTAGCGACTCTGTCAACGGAACAGTAAAGTTTGTGCCACTATACGGCCTTTTTAAAAAGTTGCAAAATGATAGTAGAACGCAATAACAATTCTTTATTTCCCGTTTACCGCTATATTTCCGTTTCTTAACTTGTTAACAATCTCTGATATTCCACTTCGATTAACGTTGTTTGTGAGACAATTAAACAGTTTATCTTCCTTTTAAACAAATGGGCTTCTTTATGATTTTATCCCCTTTAAGTAACGAGGATGATATATTATATCAAGATTTAAAGTTTTATATGTTAAACAATTTCACTTTATAACGTTAGATACTTTAAGCCAGTTTTAAATTATCAGCTGCTTATAAAATTTTACTTGCAACATTAAATATTTTAATAATTGCATTGCATAAAAAATGGCTTGTTTTATCCGTTACTGGTTTACTATCTTAAACAATATATTAAATTATAATTTAGAATCAATACCGTTATCGTCAAAAAGATAATATAGACATTATAGAGCAGACATAAAACCCTTAACGATGAACATGACATCGTCGTAAAATTTTAGATTTTATTACCTCAGAATGTCAATAAAAAAGGGAATATACTCGTATTTCTTTCAAAAATGGGAAGATAAAATTAAACTACACTACTAAACACTAAATAAATTTGTGTTTTGAGGGAAAAGTTTTTCTACTGGTTTACAGTCATGTTTCTTTTCTCAAGTTTATCGTCTGTGTTCTCCCATAATTCACTGTTGAATTTATGCCAATCATAATTAATAACGCTCTCAGTTATTGTTCAGCTGAAGCTGAAAAAGTATTTATTTGTTACTCTATTTGATGCAAGTACTTATATCTTCTTAAATACATAAATTAAGTTCCTAAATACATAGACAACATCGAATAAATATGAAAATGTATTATAGATGAAAGTTGGGAAATGATTAACGAAAGAATCTTTATTTTTAATATAAAACTTGTGTTATTTCAAACCTTGCAAAGATTTTTAACGTATCCACGAACTCGTTGAGAGGTTTTGTTATTATAAAATTAATCTCAAGATGGATTTCGTTCCAGAGTATAATGGCCGTTAGGGCGAAAGAATTAGATCGTTAAGTACCCATACAGTGTAAAAGCGTATCACCTTAAGAAAGGAAAGAACCATTATGAGAATCTCTCCAAGTTTTTAAATTAAAATACTACTTAACACCTAATTTTTTTCGATCTGAGTGTAACAAAACCTGTCATGGAAAAATTGCTTACGTTTATAAGTGAAGTAATAACTTGTACCGTTACTTTAATTTAAGTTCATACTTCGAAAGGTAATAAAAATCCTATTTTTATTTACTTATATTACCTAATAATACAATTAATGATCAAAGCATTGTAAGAGTAGTAGTAGTATTTAGTAGATATTATCAGAAGCTCTTGTATCACTGACAATATTGTACAGTGCGACATTGACTTTACAAAGCTTCAAGCTAATTCAGGTTCTATTTCTATTACATTTAAGACTATAAGTATCTATTATTATGATTGCTTCTTGTCAGAATCCACGAAACAATGTGGACTTGTACATATTCAATGTAACCGACAACGGCATCGCTTAACAACGTAAACAGTTAGGTGACGTTATGCAATTGTTAATTGCGCCTAATTAAAACTGTAAATGAATTGTAAACTCTCATCGTACACAGACGCGCGTGTGAAAGGACTTTAAGAAATGTTGCCCTACACGGCAGTTAGTGAGTGGCGAGATAACACGAATGCCTACGTCAGTGCTGGTCAACGGCATCTGAAGAAGCTGAGACTTACACATATTTCTATAGGCGTATATTTATACGTGGTAGAGCCCCGCTGCAGCTATATTACGATTGTAGCACGAGTGGGTCGGCTCGACCGGGGAAGGTCCACGCTCTCACAGAATACAGTGTTTTGTATGGTGAGTGTTAGATCCGGAGACCCTTTTTTACTAGAAACGAGGCATTGCATAGTTCTCAGGAGTGACAACGCATCTGCGTTTTGATTCTTAATCCAAGATAAATGTAGATTCCTATAGGCCACATCATCCACTTACCATCCAGGTGGACTGTATGCTCGTTTGTCAACCTATTTCTATAAAAAAAATTGGTAAGGATTGCTATCGTAACACAGTTTAGGTTTTGTATTCATCGTAAAGTTATTTATAAATTTTTTGTCCAACGGCATTATATGTATAGTGAGTATTGCGATAATACACGAAAGTTAGCGACCGTCAACGGCATCGCAAGAGAATGGGA